GGTGAGGGGTTAAGAAAAGGCAACGCAACAATTTTCCCCCGTGTTTCTTTTTTGCCGAACCGGTTAATAATTGTTATTGAAGCTCACTCAGTATGAAAATATTTTGGAGCATACGGTAATCTTGGGCCGACAATAATCCCAATACTTTGAAGGGAAAGGAGCAAACTGCTGGAGATGAGTGAACCACTCGTTTGGGTAAAACGAGAACGGGATGGGTATCCATCCCTAACGTTGAAAGTAAAAGAAAATATTCGTCATGATTTTATTGCCTAGGGCTCTAAGCGCCAAAATGCCCCTTACTGTATGAGGGCCTTGTTATTCTCCGCAATTTCGCATTATTTATTCTCTACTGGTCTAATCCTAGGAGGCTAAACCGTCAGCACCCTATACGATAGGCGTTGTTGTTCATTTGATCAGTGTTCGCTAGGTTTTGTAGTTTGATTGTCGCTACTCCTAGCAGTGGCTGAGGGACGGGGTGAGTGACAAGGGCGGAGCCTGAGGAATGACGCAAACCTTTTGCATCAGCGGCCAATATTATTTGGGCACGTTCGCTATAAAAACCGCAAAATTTGGGAAAACCGTTGCAAGCTTATAGAACCTACCCGATGAATTATTCGCTGTTGTCCTTGCGGAGGATTGAACGGCGTCATCTGAAAAAAAAAACTTTCTAAGAACTCCTTAGTTAAATTGCAGCAAAGCATTCGAACCTGTGGTGGTGAGAAAGGAGGCGGTCTCGAATCGCTTGTGCCGATGGGGATGAACGGATAGGTAACGTTCAGCTCTATAAAGGGTAGTCTGTTCTTGAAATAACGCTTTACTTTCATGACCTTCAACTGCTTTACCGCTTGCTGGCGTAATTGGTAGAAAAGGATTTGGTGGAATTTGTGTGGAGTCTTGTGAGATCAGGGAACTTTGAAGTGGATTCAGCATTCCTATGACAAAAAATAGAGCGATCCTTATCAAGAAAGTGAAGCAAAAACTAAAAAAGGTACCAGAGAAATATGGGAAAAAGTCAAATATTTGTTACGTAGTCTGTCTTATTGGACCCTTTACCGGCTCTTCCGTGTGATAGGATAGATGAAGTCCTCAGACCACTACGCCTTCGCCATTGCTGCGTCCCTTCTCTTTGATCATAAAAACGTTGGACTCAGCAACGAGAGTACCGCAGTGATCCGAGTGACAGTGCCAACATGGTTAGCGCAAATCTGTCATTTTTTATGCCTCTCACCTGGAGGCGGGATGAGTGGGAATGGTTGCAGAGCAGCCATCTGCCACGGTTCCGCTGAAGACCTTCCTCCACTGACAGTGTAGGTGCTACAAAAAATCCTGTTATTTAGCAGCAAGGTAATCGTCCCACTGTCGCTGAGGACTTCCTCACTGACAGTGTAGGTGCTAAAAAGATTTCTGCTATTTAGCAGCAAGTAGGGAACCTGAGGAAATAAGGAGAAAGAGAAGCAAATTTTCTTACTTTGGCTCTGATGAAATTGGCTCTGATGGAATTTGCTCCTCTTGAGGTCGTGTGACTGGCCGGCGCTTAACGGTCTTATATTGAATGACACAAACATTCGCGCTGAAAAACGCTCAACAGAAAACGTCAAGAAATTTTTTGTCAAAAATTCATGGAATCAAAATATAGACCCATTACCTATAAAGGAGCTGAATTATTATAGACAAAGCCAAAGGCTAGGGCATGGACCCTGGTCCCACTTTCTTTTCTAATTGTACTATATTTTAAAAAATTAAGCGCATTTCGTTACTAGTGCCGCTGCAAGGATGCCTGTCGTGAAAGGTGAATAAAAATTAACCTGGGTCCAGATTTGCGAAAGAACTGCCACTTAAGCGACTCAAAAACTCGTAGGAGTAGGCCACGTACTGTATCGAAGCACACCTACCTTGCTAGCGCGTGTCTGCGTCTCGCTCACTCCCTTGCTCTCCCTCCAAGTCCATCTACTAGCCTGGCAGTATCTTCTCATGTTCCTTATTGGCCGTCTACTTAAGTTTACAAGGGGGGGGGGGGACAAAAAAAAAAAGACATTTTGTCTCCAGACTCGAATGAATTTAATCACACTTTGCTCAGCTCAAAGCGTCTGCTCCCAACTTAGAATTGAAGAGCGCATTTCATTTCATAAGAAAATCTTCATAGTGGCCATCTACGTGGACGGCATCAAAAAGTTTGCCCCGGAAACATGGTGCTCTGGTCGAGCTCAATGGGGTTCTCGACTGATCGTGTACCGTTACGACGGGTTCCGAAGGGCGGGTTCCGAGGGGTTTGCATAGTTAGAGCTAATGTCCCTAGGAAACTATCCCACGTTGAATCGATCCAAGAAATTATGTAAGAGCTTCAGGCTGAAGCAGTTACTGTAGGCCTCCCTGAGCTCGACGACGGTGACAGATGACGTCATATTCTGAAGACGGTGAGGGTAGTGAAGGAGGGCCTGCGTGTACTTATAGAGGGACATTTAGGGAATATTTTGCTGAGGAACTTCCGTCAACGACGGCAATCTCTGCGAAGAAAAAAGGCCGAAGTGCGACCTGGGCAAAATGTCTTTTTTTGCCCCCCCCCCCTGTATATTATACTTACACACTTGTGGGCAGTAACGGCCTATGCAATCGCGGAATCGTCTTCGAATAAAAACTTTTCGCTTAAAAACCATAAAAACGCATCTTTGAGCACTTCCCCTCTCTTATAGGTTGTACTAAGAGCCATATTTACAATAGAATCTCCTAACTCACGTGCTTGAATGGAGCAAGAGGTGTGCTTGACGTGGGAGGGATAGTCACTAAGCGTAGAGGAGCCCGATACCTTGTTGTGCTTTTGACTTCCGGCTAAATTAGCTTGAAATTACATTCGCACTAGATTCGACTGATCCACCTATTACCTGCACGAGGTCGCTCAGACTTTCTGAAGGAGCTGGCGAATCTACGACGCTGTACTTTGCAGGTACTGTTGTCCTCAGAGGTGGCTGAGTAACGAAGAACGAATCCAACCCGTCCGCTTTTTCTGCTCCATTCAGCAGCATGGAATCGTAAACTAGAAACCAATTCTTAATTTATGATCTCCATAGAGGAAAGTCATAAAATACTCTGATCGTCTTTTCGAGACATCCCGTTGACATAGTAGATTCCTTTCGTGATGATGCGTTTTCCGTCCAGCGGTGCGTAGATTACATCTTGGGTACTGTCATGGGAATGAACTGAAATCACACAATTGAATATTACAATTATTCGACAAAAACCTTAATAAATCAAACAGACAAATGAAAAAATTGAGAACAAGTTAAATTGTAGTCGATCAAATTTTAAAATATTAACTAGGAAAAAGTTATTGTAATACAAAAATGATAAAAAGTAGAGTTGTAAGTAACGTTTCGTTTGCTGTTATTTTAGTCGCAGATCTCGAACTCTTAGTCTAAGCAAGGACCATGACGAATAACGATCGAGAAATCCCTCGGCCATGCTCTCTACTGTGCGAGAGCAGTGCCGAGAGTGAACGTACGCGCGGAGAGCACAGACGGCTCGCGCATGGCG